GACTTCCCCTATCAAATGCCTGACCATGTTGCAGAAAGAATACAGTCACTTCCAAAGGTGTTCCATTAATGTTGAATACTAAACAGGCACATAATCGTCAGAGCTTCCTCCCAGTGTTTATCTTAAAACGTTCTCGTAACAATAAATGGCTCTTCAGAGATGACATACTCCTTAGGCTCTTTAATATTATATTCCCACCAGGTAAATCTCACTAACATTTGTTCATTGGATAGAACTTGGGTCAAGAAACAAAATCATACTATTCTGGCCCCCATTCAAATCTTGATGTGATCCAGCTACGGTGTTAACATTTCCTGAAGAACTCACTGATTCTCTTAGTTTGAGAATGGAAAATCTTGTAGCCCCAGGGAACAGTTAACCACAAGAACTGAGGGTCATACAGTTTTCAGTAGTGGTTGACATGAAGCTTGTAAATAATGTCAGGCAGTCCTTAAGGCAAAACAAGTGATGCAACATTTACTAACTAACATTTTGATTTATTTTTACAGTCCAGTAGAGATATCATGCTCTGCAGTGGATGGTGTGAATGTGGAACTAACTCTTTCTAATTTTTCACGATAAAGATTTGGACATTTTTTGCAGAGGTGGGCTGCAACATGCTTTCGGAAAAAGTCCTGAAGGTATTTCCTAAATTTTTCTCCAACAAATGCATAGATCACAGGATTGATACAACAGTGGATCATTGATATTGTTTCTGTCACTTGGATTGCTTTCTCCAGTTTGCTTTTGATTTCACAATTTGTGTTGAAAAGTGAACTTTGAAATGTGTGCAAAAAAGAAGAAATATGGAATGGTGTCCAGAAGATGAAGTAAAAAATCACAATCACAAAAATAAGTCTGACTGCCTTCTGTTTTTTCTCATTCTTGCATCTCAATAATGTTTTTAGAATTTGTGAGTAACTGTAAATCATAATTAACATTGGAACAATAAGTCCCAGAATGTTCATCTTTAAAGTATAGGAGTACTTCCAATTTATTATGGCATCATTTGGATAATGAGCACTGCAAGTATAACGTGAATTTTCCTTTTGAGTTTTGTGAAATACCATCCCAGGAACAGAAGCAGAAATAGCAACAGCCCAAGTGACACCACTGGTCAGGATGCCATAGGTAACTGTCCTAGCTTTTAAAGCAAACACTGCATGCACTATGGCCAGATACCTGTCTAGGGTCAGCAGGATTATAAAAAAGATCCCGCTGTAGAAGCCAAGGAGGTAGATGCCTGAGAGAAGTCTACACAGCGCCTCCCCAAAAATCCAGTCGTGAACAGCATAATAAGCCCAAAAAGGGAGAGAAAATACAAACAGCAAATCAGAAACTGCCAAATTGAGCAGGTAGATGTCAGTCATACTCTTCAATTTCTTGTATTTTACCAGGATAAGGATAACGAGCACGTTGCCTGTGAGGCCAAATATCACCACCAAAGAATAAAGCGGTGGCAAAAGTTTTGCTGCAAAGTGCTTTTCCTCAGTTCCCATGCATGGCTCTGAACTGTCATAGTCGAATTCTGTTGTCAGTGGCAAGTCATCTAAGTCCACGGTATGGTTTTCCATGGTGCGTTGGTCTGGAAAGGAAGGAAAGGATGTTAAATTAGAAGAAACTGTAAGCTTGGCAGTGAGGGGAATGAAACACACTGATGGGTAGAGCGAGACAGCGAGGCAGCAAGAGGGAAGCACAACAGGGTGTGCTTCTCCTTGGCTCATGGCCATCCTCTCATCACACCAGACCATACTGTAGCCCTCACCCAAGGAGGACCAGGCATTGGCAAGGTGTAAACCGGTGCCTCCAAAGGCGCTGTGACATGGGTAAAAAAAACTGACTGCCGCTTGTTCAGGTTGTTCATGACTTCCTGGGAGCCTTTGTGCCTGTGGGAACCAGGTCACTGCAGGCGTGGAAACAACCTTTGTGCAGTACTAAAGATACCCACCTGGTGGACCTGCTGTCCTGGGTGGTGCAGAGCAGCAAGTGGGCAGCGTTGGTCTGGGTTGAAATGGCAAACGTTGCGTCGCTTACAGAGCCTGGGTCAGGCGTAGACCATAGAAGCGTGCTGGTCTTCAGTAGCTCTGGAAGGAAAACGGTGCACAGGCCTGTAGAAAGAACAGATAGTCAAAAACCTTGGGAAAAGGCATAGAAGATGACAGTTGCTATCAGGGTGGGCTGTAACACATGTATCTGTTGTGGCATTGGCATCTTGCTGTCAGGTGTAAGACCTCCCCAGTGCTCGGGGATGAAAGAAGTTTGGATTCCATGTTTCAGTAGCTTTTTAGCAGCCATGATTCAGGAGCTCCAATGGTTGGATTGGCTGAGTGTCTTGAAGGGGGCACAATGGTGAAAGGCAGATGTGGCCATTGCTATGAGTGTGCACTAAGAGTTCTTCATGCATAGCGGTTGGTTGATAATCATCCTTCATCCTTTGTGAGGTGACATAGTAATTGAGGAAGTGCTGGGGTTGCCCGAACTTTGTGTCCCTCCAGTTTTGGTTTGGGAACTGCTGGGTGTAGTGGGCTTCCCTTGCAAGAAGGAGTCACAGCCTGGGAGGTAAGTGTGCATCAGAGCTGTGAAAGCCCTCAGGCAAGTTCTGTTACAGTGGGAGCAGGTAAAGTCTTGCAACTTTGATGGGAGCCTTTCGTGCCACCAAACCCTACTGCCTTCCCAAGTCCCTGGTAGGACTGTGAGCCAGATGCAGAAGTATAGCTTTGTGTAGTTCGGTCTCTGAAAAGTTGAGGAGATCTGTCTTCTCACAGACCCCTAGAGAAAATGTAATGCCCACATGTCCTGTGAGAAGCTGGGAAGAGGATTTTTTGAAGATGGGTGTCAGAGGGAGCAAATGTCCTTCCTGGTCATTTAGTTGAGAAGTGAAATAGATGCATTTGGCAGCCACTCAAATAGAGGTATTTGCTGTCTGGTACAAGGGCTGCTCTTTCTTCCTGTGTCATCGTGACTGTTTTTATCAGGCACTTCATGGCAGATTGGTGGCTGTTCATAGCAGGTTGATGGTTTTGAAATCTGCATTTTCCTGACAATTTGATGCCTGTTCTCTTGAGAAAGGCAACAGCCTGCTCCTGACACAGAAGACTTCAGATAGTGTGTCTGCCCCAACTTGCTCTGTGAATGCTGACCACCCGTGTAGTGCAGCAATGTTTGCTTCTTTCCTCCTTACAGCCACACCACGCCCTTTTTTCAATGGTGAGGTCTACCCCGTAGATTTGCAGACGTCTTTTGCAGAGACCACATTCTCAAAAACACCACTTCATTCACTCTGCATTTGAGTGCTGCAAGACTAAATATAACTGAAGAAACTCAGCCTGTGGCTGGAGCGACACATGGGCAGTGCCCCAGTCTGGTTTTTGGTAGAAGCTCAATTTAAGTACATGGTGGGCCATTCTGAGTTGTAGCATGTGAAATTGCTGAAGCATCCTGAGCTCGTGTCAGCCTGCTCAGCTGTTTGAGGAAAGGATTATTTCCTGATATGTAATTAGAGACTATTCAGGATCCAGAGGACCAGGACCTAGTTTTAATCTGGGTCTTTATCTCAGTGGATATATATATAAAAAATACAAATAATCTTCAGGAAGAAAGTTTAACATTTACACAGCATTAAAACAATTTTCTGTGCGTGTAGATGCACAAATATACGTACATATATATACAGTCATATAGAATCATTTAGGTTGGAAAAGACCCTTAAGATCACCTTAAGAGTCCAACCATAATCCTGACACTACGAAGTCCACCACTAAGCCATGTCCCTAAGCGCCACATCTACCTGTCTTTCAAATACCTCCAGGGATGGTGACTCAACCACTTTCCTGGGCAGCCTGTTCCAGTACTTGACAACCCTTTCGTGAAGATTTTTTTCCTAATATGCAGTCTAAACCTCCCCCAGTGCACTTAGCCTTGTTGAACTTTTGTATATATACATAATTTTTTTAATCTAGTTTGGAACTTATTTTGAGACTTAAAAACAACAGAAAATAGTCGTGGGAGTAACAGAACTAAATATAATTGATTTCCTACAGATTTGTCTCCTTTGCTGCCTGGGTCTTATCTCCTGTGATGGGTTGACCCCAGCCAGCAGCTAAGCCCCCATCTAGTTACTCACTCCCTCCCTCCACAGCAGGATGGGGGAGAGAATCAGAAGGGCAAAAGAAGAAAACTTGTGGGTTGAAATAAAGACAGTCAAAAAAACAAAGGAAAACAGGAAAAAACACAAGAGATGATACAAGGACAAATGCTTGCCACCTCCCACAAAGCAGACGGATGGCCAGCCAGTCTCTGAACAATGTCTATTTGGAAAAAACTCCCCCACCCCCACTTTTGTGGTTGAGAATGACATTCTTAGGCACAGAATATCCTTTTGGTCAGTTTGGGTCACCTGTCCCAGCTGTGGTCACAAATCTAAAAGACAACACCAATACGGCTGCTGTGAAGAAAATTAAGTCCATCCCATCCAGACCCAAAACTCGTTCCTGCTACCAAAACTGAGCTCCTGCCCTCTACAATTCACATTGATGCTGCTTAGAAAGACAGTATGTACTGTGGTTATTTTGTTTACTGTCTATCAGTAGAAATAGAAGTCAGATCTTCCTCTTCGCAACAAGTATAAAATATTAAAAATCTTTTCTGAAATGCTTTCTAAAAAAATTCCTTATCCTTTGCACACAGGCAATGCTAATCACAAAGAGCTCTAGAAAATGGATTTGGCTAACAAATTCTATTGGAAACTACTGTTTGCATTTGATTTTTTTTTTCATTTATCCTTAATCATTCTTCCCATTTTCATTTTTATGCAGAAAGGAATATCTTCTGCAGAAGCTGTAGCCCTTGACAAGAAGTCTGGTTTTGGCTCTAAAATGATCTAGACATGAACCTTCAGAATGGGTGTGTTAGCAAAGGAATCTCCAGATTTATCTCTGCTCTTGTGCTGTAAGTATAAACGGGCTCTTCTAACAGATTCTGATTTGGGAACTTGTGATTATTTGGCTTATTTCCCTCTTATTTTCCTTCCAAAATTGCAAATTAATATTAAGGAAGTCTTAATGAGTTTCGTTTGTGGGGCTTTCTCGTTTACTTTATGGACATCAGTACTTTATGCATCCATCAGTGCCCACCATCCTTGCCCACACACCCACAGTTTCTGCATGCACAGTTTTGGTTGCTAACAGAAATTCTAGATGATTTCTGCAAAAGCAGGCAACTGAGTCAAACCTAAGGTAGAAATACAAGAGAAGGAGTATTTTCTCTTTGGTGCCCTCCTTCCCTTCTAATTTATCCTGTATGCTTATCATGCAAAAGCATCTAAATATATGAGCAGTCAAGTAAGACACTACTCTCGTTTCCCCTCAGAGGACTGGTTATGTTCTGAGTTTCCAAGAAGTTGGGTACAGTGAAGTGTGACCAAGCCCCAGGCCAAGTACCTGCACCCTGGGAAAAAGTGCTTGCAGAGAAAATGGGGCTACAGCTTGGATGGAAGAAAATTTTATTTTCTTAATAATTGTAATGCTTTGAGCCAATATAAATGTAATTTCATTTCTTTAAGTTTTAACAAAGCTGCACTTCCTGCAACATCAGAGATTCTTGTAATGAGGATGTAGCTCTGAAATCATGTCTTCTCAGACTTCTGTATTTCAGCTGCTTTGAGAGAAGCCTTGCTAGCTCTTGAGTATTAGCTGTCATCTATAGCATGTCACCTTTAGCTATAGAAGTGTCTAGGTGCTGGTAGGACTATCAGGTATTTCCATGTTAGAGCAATTCAAGCAAAGAAGCTCCTGAGTTGCTACACTGACTTGTTCGGGGATGGCAGTTGTCACAGCTCAATGCATCTACTGTGCCCTAAAGGGGTTTTGGACAAAGTATCCTCATGGAAATCAGAAAATTTAGTAACTACAAGTTAGAAGAGCATCCATGCATTAATGGAGCTGCTTATCTCAAAACTGAATGATCCCCAAAGTTCTGTTTCCCTTTTTACAGTCTAAGACAAGGTTTCTCTTTTTAAATATATGAACGGGTAACGCATGCTACTCCCCCTGCCCTCACTCTCCTCCTTTTCACAAATGGCAGTGTTTGTCATACAGAAAAAGAAATTGCTTAATGACTTAAAAGTACATGTCAGCAGCATCTAGGGAACTTTATGAAGAAAGAGAAGTACAGTGTAGCACAGAGTAAAACTGAAACTTAAATGAAGAAAAATAATGCCCCTATCCTGATAGCAGATGTTGCAAAAGAGACGCCAAATGTTTCCTGCTAACAGCTTTATCTCTTTAACTTAGCCTTTGACTTTCCAGGAGTCATCTGTGGACAGGCAAAACTACAAACAAGACTGTGCACAGACACCAAAGACATCTTGGGGAGCAAGTATAAAAGTATATACTTTTCTTGAGTTACCAAGAAAGCTGAAGGAAAAGATGGAAGTGCAATCTAAATGCTGTATGTAAGACTCTGAGTTGATAGTTTCCCTCAAACATATCTTTTCATGTGGTAGTGACTGCAGGATTTCTTTCCAGGCTATGACTGGGGAAAGACAGTCCCTTCCAAAATTAAACCTCACTTTGGAAACCTCTTCCTCTTTTATTACAGATGAACATTAGAAACATGTCTTCAGAATGGCTTGCCTCCTAACTGATGAAGGTTTTTTCATCCCTACAGAACTTTCAATGAAAAATATGTTCTGGGCTGGAAAAATACGGCTTAATTCTCTGTGATCCTCAGGATCCAATTGTTTCCATTTCCCACCAAAACCAGACAGACAGTCTTGCAAAAATTCTGAGCTTTTCTGCAGTTAATTAGAGTCACTCTATGTGATCGCGAGACAAAAGTAGGAGGTGTTCTTGCCTAAACAAATGTACAATAAAAGAGTAGCATAAGCACTGAAAATAAGCACTCTGAGAAAGAGAAATTTGAGACAGCTATTAAACATCTTCCTCCAAATCATGACTATATGTGTAAGAGGGCTCTTATCTTGTGTAGGCTAAGTCCTGTGCTAGTATCTCTGTTCAAGTGTTGGGTTTTTTCAGTGTCTCTGCTTAAACTGCTTCAGATAAAACATTGAATTCAGAGTAATGCAAGCAACAGTTGTAGTCACAACCAATCTCGGGATGAAAGAAGGATAACAGTCTGGAGTGGAGATTGCCAATATGTGTCATAGGATCATGCCCCTGTCACGATATTGCTATAAGGGTCTCCACGCAGAGAAGTCCAAGCCCACTGCTCTGGCACTGTCAACTGTTCCTGGTAAATGACAGTGCAATTCTCCCATGAAAGCAAATGTTGCTATAGCTGCATGTTTGATATACTATGAAAAAAAAAAAAAAAACCACCATATTCTTAGGCTATTGTAGCTTTTTTCCTAATACCCAAGTGGCAAATCTCATTTATCCAAGCAGATGAGCTTACCTCTCCCTGTGCATGAGAATGGTACAATTCCAGTGTAGTAGTGATGAATTTTATTCATGTAAAACCTCATTAACAAAAAAATGCAAGCCAGATCATGGCTGATATATGTGAGAGATGGAGTACAGGCTTTCTAATGTGGTGGCTCACAGATACCACATTAAAAAGAGGAACCAATCCCAAAGAACATATCCCTTCATAACCTGATAATAAAACAACACCTTTCACAGATTAAATGCTTGAATAATACAAAGAAGACATGTGATAGGATAGTGATGAAGAACATCTTCCACCTTCATCTGATAGAGCAAGATGTGGCTTAGATTTGGTGAGATTAGATTAAGCGTAAAAGATTTCATGTCTGATCTGTTTATATCCTTAGCAGAATACGTTTTGAAGCTAGTGACCTCCTGGAACAGCTTTGAAACCAAGACCCAGTAAGTTTCTAGTACAAAAAAAGATTATATTTTTCAACAGCATTCGTCCAGTTCAATTCTCTACTCTCACATTTAGCCTTATCCTGAGTTGTAAGCTAGTTGCAAGACCCAACTGTTCTTAAAGATAGTGTCTCCATTTGAATGCTATCTCTACTGACACTGTCATTAGTTACATATACTTCTCCACTGAGTGAATCTGTATATATACATACACACTTTTACATGTAAAAAAAGGAAAAAAAAACTACTCACCGATTTATCAAGCTTGTTTTGTCTGATTGTCGTCTTCTTCTTTGTGAACAAACACATATTTAAACCCTGCATCTGAAAATCGGAAACAGCACTTCCTGAGTGATCTCTTGCAAAACATTATTACAAGAATCAAGGGTATGGTTCTTCTTTTTTGAAAGCACTTGGTTTACAGGCTGAGTACAGAACTGAGGGATGAAGACTTTATGGGCGTGTGCTTGTTCTGCTCAAGCTGGAACTGGAGCAGTCAGTATCTGAACTACTGCATCTATCTACAAGGTTAAGACTGGGTGGTTAAATTCAATAAAATCCTGTTCTCAGGACAATAAGTATTTCTAGCTGCTCTAGACACTTCTGCAGCTCAACAGAAAGCGGCATGAAATAATTGGCATACAGAATGTGGGCCTTTAAAATAAAATTCAGGTCTCCAAAATGACTGCTGAAACAACCCCACCAAGGTATTCTTCATGTTTATTGTCACTGACTGACTTCTACATAATTTCTACATGGTTCTTCCTTTCATCATCACTAGTGAAAAAGAATCTGTAAGCAAAATTAGGATATGTTTATTCTATGCAAAGCAGTGTCATGATCAGGGGACTGGAGCATCTCTCCTATGAGGAAAGGCTGAGGGAGCTGGGCTTGTTTAGCCTGGAGGAGACTGAGAGGGGATCTCATCAACACGTACAAATCTCATCAACATGTACAAATATCATAAGGGTGGATGTCATGAGGACGGAGCCAGACTCTTCTTGGTGGTGCCCAGTGACAGGACAAGGGGCAATGGGCACAACCTGAAGCATAAGAGGTTTCAGTTGAATATGCGGAAGAACTTCTTTACCTTGAGGGTGGCAGAGCACTGGAACAGGCTGCCCAGGAGGGTTGTGGAATCTCCTTCTTTGGAGATATTAAAAACCCGTCTGGACGATGTCCTGTGCAACCTGTGCTAGGTGAACCTGCTTTAGCAGGGGGGTTAGACTAGATGATGTCCGGAGGTCCCTTCCAACCCCTGCCTTTCTGTGATTCTGTGATTCTGTGTTAGACAGCATCACACTTGCTTTAGGTGAGCATTGGGAAGAGAGAAAAGTCAAGGTCCAGGCATTTCAGAGCTAATTGGGTCAGGCTGGGAGAGCTACCTTCCTTCCAGTTATGTGACTATGATGCAGTCTGCACCACACTACACTCTGTGGTTTAGACCCCTCCTTGAACATCTATTGTAATTTTTGCAAAGCTGTTTGTAATGATCTTACACTTCTAAGAGGATGTTGTATGAGGCAAGCTGGAACCTGCAGCTCATTCACTTTTTGATGTGGTGATATTTCAGGATTGAAAGCAATGGAAAGAAAGAGAATAAAATAACAGAAAGTAGTTAAAATATCTTTTGTTTCAAAGGCAGGAAGTATAGTTGAGTTTACAGGCTGGTCATGCATTTATTTTTTTTTTAAACATTCACTTCACCAATGCCATTGGCACTGTAGCTGCAACAGCCTCCAGCTGTTGGAGTGATAATTGATGCCTATGTAAGTGATCATTATAAACCAGGACTGATAAATAATATGGCCACTTATCTGCTCCCTGAGGAGTCCTTTTACATTCTTATAGCAAATTACAGCAAGGCTACATTTTTCAAATTTGCAGTTTTTTGGCAGCAGCTGTTGATCATTTTCTCTAAGACTGCTGGGTGGTTCCCTGCAGTATTCCTGAAGAGCTGTAAGACTGGCTTGTGCTACAATTATAGCTGGATTTTGTCATTTCCTAGAAAATCTATGTGGAGTTTCAGTAAAACCAGTGACATATTACCTGACCACATGTGTCCCAGAGAGTATAAAAGAGATTCACAGAGCTCTTTCAGAAGGACCACCTAAGCAAGGCATCAGGAAGAGGGGTCTCTCTGATGGCTGAACGAGCATAAACATTTCCTGTTAATCTGGAAGGGGCTGTGTAGATTTTGCTGTAAATATAGACTGCAAACCACTGAAGACCTTCCAGCCTGAGCAGAAACGGCCTTCGCTACAGGGACACAGTGGATAACAGGGAGACACAACCCAATTTTCTTTCTATACCATCTCCCTCTGAGTTGCTGGCTGAGTTTGAAAAGTTACAGTTTTTACCACTCGAGACATCTCTTCCTACTCAACGTACAAGCTGCTAGTTCAGCAGTTTTGTTTGCAGGTTTAATCTTTTGTGAGCTACTATGCCTGGTAAAGAAATGTTTGGCTTGCAGGATCAAAAATCCTGCCTGAGGCACTTCATTTTCACTGCCCCATGAAAAAGAGGGGCGGTCACCTGGAGAAAGGGCTTGTCTGGGCTCTCAAAAGTGGGACTCCTTTGGAGTCCATTGCCCAGGGGCTATGGTGAATGTAATTGGGGGTACCAGAAGTAATCCTTGCCCTCTTCTCTCCCTGTCTTGTGATGCTGGGCTTCCTTCTGCCTTTTTCAGGGGACTTTCTGGAGTCACCAAGCTCCACCTTTTTTGCTTGCTCTATCTGTTTGCCCAAGGAAAGAGCAGTTACGGCTGAAACTAGCAGAGCCAACCTGTCAGTCATGGCAAAACTTTTGAAACTTAGCGAATGCAGCACTTTAGGATTGAATGCCTCCAACACAGGAGTGGAAAAAGACCTAGTTGTATAGCAAGCAGCCTATGCAGACAGTACTTTCTAAACAAATTTGGGAGAAAAAAATATATGCAAATCTGGAAGCATCCATATATTGATAGAACTGACAAAATTTGGACTTTCTCAGGAATGGATAAATTCTTGGTTTCATTTGCTCTCTTACACAGACCAGTCCTAGGAAAGAACACAGAGGAAGTCATCCTTGAAAGACCTACATGCTAATTTCATAATCTGTGAGGTAAGCAGCGGTCTTGAGTTTGGCGTAAAGGGTTTGGTGGATCCTTGTGATAGGGAATGAGTAACTCATGACTCACAACTCACTTCTAGTTTGAGAAAGAAAGCGCAGTTTTGCACACATTATTTTGAAAGAGTTTTAATTCTTTGTGCCCTCAGTATGGGTGCTTAGATTGAAGACAAGTGGACAGTGGTTTTGGGCCTGAGCTCCAATTGCTGTGACCTTTGAAAATCAGGGATGGTTTCTTTACGAAACGGTAATGCAAATAATTGGAAGCTACTTCAGAAACCTTGATCGAGATTAAAGTAGAGGAAAAAAGAAAGATTCAAAAGAGAAGTAATAGCTCATATTGGACACTTAATTTTGGGCACCTGGGACTACATTTTGAACTGCAGCTAAATTATTATTATATTACAGAGGATAGGGCCTGTTACAAAAGACAGAGCCACCTGAAAATCCCTTTTTCAGGGATGTTGGGACTCTGAAGAAATCCAGGGGAGAGGAATGAAATGTTCATCAGTCTAGAAAGCATGGCCTTATGAGAAATTATTGGGAAAGGACTAGATGATCTCTGGAGAGCTTTCTCAAAATTACTGTCTACGATTTTATTCTTAGCATCTTTCCTGTAAGGGTTTAGTGAGCTTTATAAACATTTAGAAATCCAAAGAACTGCCTAAGAGATGGAAGCAGAGGAAGAAGTGGGAGATAAGTCTCCCAAAGTCAGAGACATTGCCAGGTGAAGATTGCTTGCCTTATAAAATTAGAGAGCTGCTTAAAATTAGAAAGAGCAAGAAGGGAAGAAAGGAATACGTAAACTTCACCATGCTAATCAATTGAAATTCTATAAACAAGGAAGTAGTGCTTGATTGTACCAAAGAGAAGAATCAAAGAAGAATGAAAAATTTCTGCAACAAAACTGTCTTACTTCAGCTGGGGCTTTCTACAAGTTGTCACAACACTACCACTGACAGAACTGAAGCAAGGGAACCAAACCACCACCAAGCACCATGTGCCTCTATTACTTCATCAACCCCTGAATGTAAGAGAGCACTAGCTTTTTCTGACAATAATACTGTTGCCTTAAATTTAGGATGTTATGTGGATACTGAAGTCAAGACGTGGGGATACTCTCAGAGCAGTGACATAATTTTCCTAATTTCCTGAAGAAATCTCTTTTCCTGTGGAGGGAAGGGGAGAGCTGGAGACAGTTCAAATCACTGTTGGCAAAAATATTGGTGAAATTACCAAGCAGATTACCTAAATAGAAATGTCTGGGCCTCAGCTATGTGCCACTAAGACCATACCAAGATTAAGCGATGGCCTTCGCTTCATCCCATAGTCTAGGCCTCCCATGTGGATGGAGAAATGCTGACTTCAGTCCCTGTGTCAAAGCATGTTTAAGAATTTCAGGCAAAGCAGGACAGCACGAGGAGGTAAGGTGTATACCGATGGAGTTGCTTTCCAATCCCTCTGGTGTGCTTCAGCTTGGCTTTTTATGGTGAAATTGAATGATGAAAAGACAGTTCAATAAACATATTACTGGATCCTGTGCAGTAGCTGGTAACCGGCTAGCTAGTGTAAGGACGCCCTCTAAAGTCAAAGGATAGAGGTAGGTATTTGCAGAGGGTAACTGCCCCTGCCTTAAACTACTCCACCTTAGGTGAGAATGGATCACCATATGGAGGGGGCTCTCTTTGCAATAGAAAGAGCCTAGACAATGGGTTCAGACTAGACAGCTAACCTGTACATTGATAAAGCTGAGTTATAGCCCAATCAAATGTTTCAGATAACCCAAATGAAATTTTTGGGGCTTTTGGTGATGAGAAACCATTCTTTATTTTGGGAAAAGATCAAGCCAAATATTTTTAATTTGCTGTTCTGTGGGCCTGTGGTGTTTTTTTAGCAGGTAGCCTGATAATGCTGTCTACATCCTTTGCTGAAGAGGAAGAGAACTATGCTGTAGATCTAAAGACCAGTCCTGCTGATGACCCACCCAAAAGCAGGAACAAATTTATTGGGGCACTATGAAGACTGTACCCTGCTCATGCCCATGAAAACTGTATGTGCTCCCTATCATGTCACAGCTGCAAAGGCTGTTCTCCTCTTCCCCTGCATCCTCTTGCCCATGAGGGGGTTCTAAAAGGGCACTGTGTTTTAGAAGAGGAAGGAAGATAGATACATAAAGGCAAAACACAGTTTCTATTGATGGCATATGAAATTTGCATAATCAGCTGCTCAGGTGTTATAGCAC